AAAAAAAAAAAATAAATAAATAAAAATAAACACATCTTAGTAAAACCAATACCTTCTCAGCTTCGCTTCGAAGCTAAAATGAATAACCCACGAAAAGTTTTTCTCTAATCCTATGATTTCTAGTGCCTAATTTGTTGAAAAATGTCTAATGTTTAAGGTCAATTAAAAATAATTGTAATTTGACAAAACTTACAACAAAGTTTGAAAAACTTTTTCATACTCTTTATATGTAGATTATCTAATGATAAGCTATAAATACGATTTTAAAGAATACTTTCATCGTTTTGTTGTGTAATACATTTGATTAAAGTCATTTAACTCTTATATTGTAAATATTCAGCTTTACTATTAATAATAGCTGTATATAAAAAAAAAAATCTGTAAGTACCCAGTTTTACAGTATTTATGTAGACGTCAATGTGAAATATTATACACCAGTTTAACTGTAGATAAGCTTAATAATATTCAAATGTTAGCTATTGTTGAAATAAAAGTAAGAAGATTTGATTTATTCAATATATTAGCCAAAACTAATTTTTGTCTTAGTATTTTTTCAATTTATTTGATGTAAAGTAAAATTAATTAGAATGATTATAAATATACTTCATGATTGATATATTTAAAATAACATCTAACTAAAAAGAACAAAAATTAAATTCACATTGTTATTTTTCGTTTAATTAGGTGGTTCACAATAACTAAATTACTCTGTATACTTTTTCCTTAAATACTTAATTTTTATGATTTATCAGTAGGTAATAATTTCCTTATAGGGATACACTATCATAATGGAGTAGGTTAAAATAACTCTTAATAATAGAGTATACAAAAATGTATGCATAATTGTAAACAGAATTTGAACAAAAATGTAATATTTCGTTATTACTATATTGTGTATTTTTGTTACATAAACATACACCATCTTGATGCGATATAAAATCTAAATAAGGCCATTTAAAATCACATGGTAAAATGTGATTGAACCCACAAAAATTGTACAATGTCTAACCTCTTGTAGAAATAGACTCTTCAAAAGTAATCTAAATAAAATTCAATATGCAAATATTCAGAAAAAAAATAAAATTAATAAATATAAAGGTTATTTTGATAAAACTATTATGTTTTATTATAATATAGGTAAGTATGTTATTATACATTTTTAGCTTTGATGCGAAGCTGGGAAGGTATTAGTTTTATTATTAAATGTTTTTTGTTATGTATATCGCCACATTTTCTCAGCTCTCACTAGATAAATTTCTTTCAACGATACGTCAAAATATCAAATTTTGCTTTTTCAAATTTTGGAAATGTTCAGGAGAAATTACAAATATTAAACATGTGTAAAATTAAAGTTTATATGTTACATACTACAAGTTAGAGAAAATGAATTTGTTCCGACGGCTTGTCTTCTATATGTAATTGGTTCATGAAGTTAAACAAAAAATATTTTGGTGTAAAAATCAATTTTTTCAAGTTGTTATTTTTACCTAAAATTTGTCATAACTTTTTTGTATAAATTATTTTAATAAAAATCCTAGTGATATTTTCTAAAAAACTATTGGTGTTTGAATAGATACTAAAATTGAAATATTCAGAAATATATTCCTATAGTTATATTCTATTATATACTGATATTCAAAAATATTAAGTTATGATAGAGTACGCTGATGTGTTGCTGAATTTCATTTAAACTTAAATTTGTTACGTTATTGTTTTATATGTAAATAATTTTTGTAACTGTTTAGTAACAATCTAAAAAATTATAGGTGATTGAAAAAATCTAATTGTTGATTTAAAATCATTGCGAAAATGGATTAGAACAAGTATATTTTTATCTCTGATGAAAATTCTTAGTAGTTTGAATCAGGATCTTCAATTTTTATAGTTTGCAATAGATATAACAAAATATACTTTATAATTTTTTATAATTTCTCTGTAAAATTTACAATATTAAATTATTGAATATCAATTTCATGTTTAATTACTATAATTAAAATTATTAATACAAAGTATTTGTTCATATATTATACTTATAAATCAAAAAATTACTAAACAGGATATAATTAAAGAAATAGGAGTTGATGTTGCTTTTCGAATAATTCAATAATTTCTTAAAATTAAACACTATCAACAGATTTGCATCAAAGCGTTTCAATGATAGTGATTTTAATCACTGTGGTATTATCTATATTTGTTCCAACTATGCAATGTCCTCATTATATTGCAACCCGCTATATTAACATTTTTATCGAGTAGTTAATTTTTTTGTAAAAACATATCAAAGAGATTACTTTTTATTTTTTGTTGTTGTTGACATATTTTATTCCTTATTCTCATAGTCTACAAAACTCCACAATTATAAGTTTACTAGTATATAATTAATTATTCATGTGTTTTTTTTATTCGGTATACAATAAAATATTTTATAAATTATATAACCTAGATTTATGAAAAAATATACGTTGACATTTTATATTGATCTTCTGTATACTCACGAAAAGGTTAAATAAAACTTTTTGTATGTATAACTTCGACTTTTTTTCAATCAATTTAAACTTAAATTTAAATATATTTTATATAAAAACGAATGCAATATTGTAATAATACACGATATTAAAAATTGATTAGATAAATGAAAATGTTTACATCTATAAAGTTAAAAAATAAAAAGTCGTAATTGATAAATAAATAATATTGTGTTCTTATAAAATTATTCGCAAAATAAAAAAGAAGAGATTTCAAAAATTTGTTATAGGTTTAATTTAAAACACAAAAATTGAAACTTACACTTCACAATTTTAAAAACAACATTACTTTGTGTTATCGATCTTTACAAGAAATAAGAATGATTGACAATAGAAGTATATGCGCTATTCACTATTAAATTATCCTATTCCAGACTCACTCCCGAGGGACACAAGTAAAAATGTTCCCTATCTTGGCTATATACATTCAGATTAAGTTTAAGGTGTATATGTTTAGTAAAAAATTCTAAAAATAGTCAATTTTGATTAAGATACTTTCCTAAGTTTTGTAACTTCTTATTAAATTTTGTATTTACCTTTCAACATAACTTATTTAAAAGTAAAATTAGATAGGATTAAAGATTTAATGTTTTAATATTATATCAACAATGACTTAAAAAAATTTCTAATATAAACTATAAAAATAAATTTGAATTTGGAGCCGTTAATCAAGTTCTATACTCAACTTAATTCTTAATGTTTTTTTTTACATGGGCTGAGCCTGGTTAGGGTTAAACCAGGCCATCCCAGCCTATGCAGAAACCTTTTTTTCACATTACTGAAACATCTTTGATTGATGTGATAGTAATTTTTTGAATCTATGTTGAAATTAACTTTATGCTTCATGTTATACATTTTTGAAGTAGAAAATTGTAAATGTGAAAATCATATACGATTAATTTAAAAAAATGAAATATTTGATTTTAACTAATGATAAATTAAATTGAGCTGATTCGTTTTTCAAATTACTATATAAACTATAAGTTGTTAAAAAAGAATTGTCACTAAGTTAAAGGACATTGTAAAACGTTTTCCGTGTTTAAACCTCGAATTATGATACATAATATAAATTTAATTTTGTTAATGTTAAGAAATGTGTAAATAATTTATTAGAAACATGAATTCTTTTACCAGTGGTAGTGGGCAGGATTAACTGTATAAGGCGTGTTTATACTTTGACTCGACATTTTACCGAGTCGTGAATATTCCCTTCCACACCCCCAAATCTTTCTGGTAGTCACTGATGACAAATGGTAATGTTTTCCGGATGATGTTGACGCCAAAACACCGAGCGTCATTATGTGTGAAACAAAGTTAATTTTTTCCTCCATAAAATATTTTTGGCGCCGTCTGTTTTGTCTGAAAAACGAATCAACGATTTATTGCCTAACGAATACAATTTCTATCGTATTTCTGGAGTATTTTTACTTAAATAAAAACTTTTAATAATTCATATGCATTTTAATTTCATATTTTTTACAGTAAGAATTAACTATACGACGACTCTATATAACTATACACTGAGCGTAAACGGAAAATTGGTGGCACGAGGTCAACCGTCTAATGATGACCCCATAACATTTAACTGGACAGCTACGGCAGCAGATCAGTCGCACAAATACCTAGAGTTTCGGTAAGTATATACTGTAATGATTATTGAATGATATTCTTCACTTAATATAAATGACATATATTATTATATGAATGAGTATAAAGAATTAATAATGAAAATAATAATAGATATGAGTAATCATATAAACCAAGTTCTCAAGTAGCACAACTTAATTTTTTTTCTTTCAATAAACACCGTTAAATGTCTAAAAAATAAAATTTATAATATTATATACAAACTATAAAAAAATATTTTATATAAATATAAGAAGGCGTTTTTCAAGAAGTGTTGAAAGTATTTATACGAAAAACCATGACTGTTTTATTTTTAAATTATTATTAAACATAGACCACTCTTTAAATCCTTGTCATTTTCTGAAAAGCAATTATAAATTAATATAGAATCAGCAGGTGATTTTATATAACTTCAGTACATTTTTGAATAACTTATAGTATATTTATATATAAATGCTCATTTTCCAATAATTTATATCATATAAAATTGAGATTTTTAATTTTTGTTGGTTAAAAAGCAATCATAATAAAAATTCGCATTAAAACATATTCTTCAAAAAATACTTCTTCACTGCTACTTATTCGGATGTAATTTTATTATACTTCAAACTATGAAGAATTGTTTTACTGGAGCATAGGTGGATCGATTTTTCACATTTATTATTACTATTTTTTAAATATACATAAGATACAAAATTCTATGTAATAAAAGTTTCAAATGCTTGTTAAATGGAAAAACAGCACATGGGTATTTAAAATAAACAGGGTTACTATTGTTCTCATTGTTTGTAACAATTTATCTGTTTCCTTACTTACTGAATATCCTGTATAAAAAAGTGTCTCATACTTAACTTATAATGCTTTTAACTTTTTGACACAATTAACATATTGTTGAACTTTCTTTTTAAAATATTTATTATTTTCATAGACTACGTTTAAAGCTTATTTTTACTATTTATCCTAATAAGATTAAAAGACTAATCATTTAGTTGAGAAATTGACGGGTCTATAATATATTTTGAACCATTATTTTAGGAGTTATGAAAAATTTTTTATTTTGACTGGAGAAAGTGTGATAAATTTAATAGTGCGGTACCTCATCCAGTTATTACTTTAAATTGATAATAGTATCAAAAATACTTAATCGAGAATTATTATGGACTCGTCATTTTCTTAATTAGATTATTTTATATTATTTGAGTTAGTTAAATATACATGTTTTCTTCAAAAAAATTAATTTCATATATTTATAACGTGTAAGGTATGAATTTTTTTTACAACAAATAAATGGGTATAAATAACAAAAGTAAAAAATGAAAATTCTTAACAAAATCATTATTGTAAAAAAAACGAAACCTGGCAAATTGGCAGATTGACCGTACACTTTTACACTTCTATACACATATAAATTATATCATATTCAATTTTTTGACAAACATAAAAAGCTCATAAACAAAAAAATCGATAAATAATTTTTTTACTACTTAAATCATATTGCATACGCTTTAATTCAATATCTTTTAATATAAGTCAACATTTTTAGAATGTTGTCATAGAATAAAAAAAATTTGACATAATCTATACACAGTGTTTGGTTTATCACAATCCAATCGATTATTTGCAAAATAAATACAATATTGTTCAAAGTTATTTTTGACCAGTTATTTTTTTAATTAGATTATTTTCTATTTCATAAAATAGTTAAATGTGTATGTTGTTAATTAAAAAAAATTAAGTTGACATTCCTTTATGTTATAAGGGAATTTTTTTTTCAATGTTGTATTTATTTTGAGGTAATCGATTGGATTGTGATAAACTAATCACACTGTATCTAGGCTATTGCTACATTCAAAATTAATTTTAATAATGTATTCGGATTTTCAACAATATATATTAAAAAACGGTAGCACAGTGGTATCGAAACATTGTGTAGATGTGGCATAGTTGGTACAAGTATAGATGATATCTGACAGTGATTATAATAACAATCATAAGAAACACTTCAATGCAAATCAGTAGATAGTGTTTAATTTTAAGAAATTGGTGGATTATTCCAAAAGCAAAATTAATTCCTGTTTCCTTCATTATTTCTAATTAGTAATTCTATAATTTATAAGTATAATATATTATTAAATATTTATTAAAGCAATTAAATACAGTATAAAATTGATATTTAATAATTTAGTATTGTAAATTTTATGGAGAAATTATAAAAAATTATAAAGTAGTTGTTACTTTTATGGCAAACGTGTAGACATTTTTTTTTATTTTAATTTATAGTACATAACATAAACTTTAAATTGACATATGTATAAAGGGCGCAGTATTTTCGGAACATTTTCAAAAAGTTAAAAAGTTGAATTTTGTAAAAAAAAAGTTTCTATTTTGAATCTCCTCGTGGGCACGTTAAGAGTCAGATTTTTAAAAATATTATATCAAATAAAAGGGAATTACTTAAGGTCTCAATATAAAAAAATTTTATGTTTATTTGTTCATTTTTCAAAAAGTTATAGCAGTTATAAGAAAAAAAAAAAAGTGAAAAAAAAAATGTCAAAATTTACAGATTTTAAAAATTGTTATTTTTTGGCGGACTTGAGTCATTTACAGGGAACGAGGGAAATTTTTTCAATTTTTAAGGGCAATGTCTTCAATTAGATACGATTTGTGAACTTTTGACGTATCATTGAAGAAATCGGTCCAGTGAGAGCAGAGATAAAATTGTAACAGACAAATAAAAAAAAAAAACACATCACGGTAAAATTAATACCTTCTTAGCTTCGCATCGAAGCTAAAAAATGTTAGTAACCTTATAAGTGACAAGAGATGTGCCAAAAAAATGTTTATTATAAATTATCCACTTATAAATTGAAAAATTAATAGTATTATATTAAGAAAAATAATTTTTTCAAAATAATTTTTTTTTAAAAGATATCTAGTAGTTAACGATAAATCAATCATTCTGTATATTTATTTTTATGAAGTTATTGAAATTTAATTTTAATTACTGAAAAATACAGTTCTATTTTAATATTTAATAACGCATTTTTCCTTAATACACTCGGTTTTTTATAAACTGGAATTGTTAATAAACTAATTATGAATAACTTCATAGGTAACTAAATAAATCATTTTTTTTTTGTTAAATTTCAAAGTTAAATATCCGATAAGTTTCAGATATTCACTAGATAATATCTAGTGAAAACATTAAGTTTTAAACTAGTTATTAAAGAAGTTCATATTATACATGTTTAATGATGAAAAACAATTAAACTATTGATTTTAGATACTTAATTGTCATAAAATGACTGGATTTTTACATTAAAAATGTGCCTACATAAAGTTTATTAAATAATTTTATTAAAATTATACAATGTTTATCATCCTAAATTTATTTATACACCGTTTAAAGATTAACATGATAGAATATTATTTTTTATCACATTATCAATCACACACGGACAAAATTAATCATTAATAAAGTGATAAATCTAATAAAAACAGTTGGAATAACTACAAAAATGGTCGGGATAACCGAAAATACAATATAGCTGTCTTATATGAATTGCAGTTATTACTATCTTAACTGATATATTATTATTCTAGCCATAATTTTCCCGTGTAATATTGTTAATAAAAAGTAAGTTTTTATTTTATATTAAATTGTCATATTTGTTTTCTACAATGTGAACTTTTATTAATCTTTTTTACTAGATACAATCCTTCTAATGACTACTGGATAAAAATTAAATAAACTTTTTATATAAATTTGTGCATTTTTTAATATAATTTATTATTTATAGTTATATTTTTATATCAAGAGACTATATTTTGATTTTTAATTTTCTGAATATTATTTATAATTATAACTATTATTTAAATTGTTTTTTAATTTTTCAAATAAATTATACTGTCGTTTCTAGTAGCCTGTTTCTATAACAAACAATAATCATTTTTTTAGCCCCGAGATAAAAAAAAAATGAACCTTTAAATTTACTTTAGTCTAATTTGTTAGAAGTTTGGGTTCTGTAGTATCTAAAAATGTAAAAATGCCTCCTGAGCATTCATTTAAAGTAAATATTATGGCATAATTTGTTAATTATTAAGTTTAAAAATTATGTTAATATAGAGTCACTCTTTAGAATAAATGTTATTTAACCATGTGTTGAACTTCATGCCAGTAGTAAACCATAAGGAAGTCTAGGGGGCATAGTCCTCTCAAATTTTGTCTTGTTCAATAATCACTTAGTTTTACATAGAAGTATTTTTTAGGAGTGGGAATGAAGTTATACCTACAAACATTTTGTTAAAGTTACGCCTATGTATAATCCAATAATTAGATAATCTATATAACTGTAATTTATATAAGTTTTTTTTAATGCCAGATTTAACCTAACAATTTTGTAGTCGTCTACTCATGAACTCATAAACTCATGTATACTACGCTTCTTGAATTTAATGTACCTATTTTATCGTCCATAAAAACAATGAATATTTTTTATGAATTATTAACATTAAGTAATTATAATTATCACTTCTTTATTAATATCTTTATTGCGAATAAAAAATACTACTGTTATTTCAGTAGAAACTTCTGAGTGTTTGAAATACAGAATTCCTTATAAAACGATAATAGCTTATAAAAAATAATAAATATGAACAATGTTAAACAATAAACTATTTTTATCTACGAGTATTTTCATTCAAGTTATTTTATTCTTTTCAAGTTCAATAAATTAAAATACTAGTAACTCATGAAATATTAAATCAATCAAATAATAATTAGATTTCAGTAAAATAAAGTAATAATAAATACATAATAATAAAATTTAAATAAACTATTCTGAAAATGAAAATTTTATCTATTTGATATAAATTAATTCAATGAAAATTAATATATATAATTTACCCTAAAAATTAAGTTTATTTTATAAAAAACATTATTTAAAACTATATTAGACTTGAAAAATTATGTTTTATGTTTTTTATACTCAATGTAAAAAAATTTCA